GAGGTTTCTACAAAGATGGAAATGTTCCTGATTCTGCACCCTACAATACAGTTACCGCTAGTCATACTTGGCGGTAAAGGACTTGAAATATGCTCAAAACATTTTGATCATTTTATCATTTAAATGATTGAAGAACTAAATTATTTATTTGACTTACATTTAATTCATTTAAATTTAAATAGCTGTGTTGCCAATAGCTACTGTATTAAGTTTATAGAGTCTGAGTTCCAACTCAGCTCCGTTTCTTTCCAATAGTGTGATCTGAGATAGGCTTTTTAAATTTCCTGTGCCTTTGAGTATTTTGTTTGTAAAATGGAGGTAATAGTGTCTATCTCAAAGTGTTGCTATGAGGCAAATCAGGTTACATATTTACAACACCTACAGGGGTGCCTGACACATAGAAAATGTTACGTCATTGTCACCATTGTTGTCATTGTGCCTTGTTTCTGTTTCTGATGTCTAGATCTTCTCATATTTCATTGTGTTTTATGATTTTAAGCTGTTAGATTCTTATTTTGGAACTTCATACCTAGAAATCCTTGTGCCTTGGATACGTGAAGAAAAGATACACATTTTCTTCCACAAACCACCTAGTTGTAATAAAACTGGGACTACATAAAACTAAATTCTCTGCCTGATATGTATATATTTTTTAATTCATGAAAGTAGCTTGAACTTAGATTGAAAATCCATGAGAACTTGTTGTTACAATTGACTAGAGTTAGTATTTTCCTCCTCCATCTGAGCCAAGGTTGGCATAGGCAAAAAAAGAACAAACAAACCAACAAAAGAAAACAATACTAACTGTCCCCTTGTAAAGTTGTGTGTGCACACATCGGCATGGCAAGGGGAAGGCTTAGGGAGAAAGAAATTTTGTTTTACCTTATTCTGAGATTGTTCCTTTGGATTCCAGGTTTATACAAAGGTGTCAATAATATGCCTCACTTAGAACTGAATCTTGGCTCTATGCATCTCATATAGCTATCAAAACGGTGTTCAATTTGCCTTCTGGGGTTTCCAGCCCTTTTTAATTTCTGGCTTCTGCAGATTTCTTCCCTTTTTGATGGACTGTCAATGTAATAATGATTTCCTTTTAAAATTTATCCAATTTCCTTGTTTTTTTCCACCAGTTGCATCATTCAATATATCTATTCTACTATATTTCTACTAATGAAAGTTCACTACACAAACGTAGTGAGAAATCACCCCCAAGAGGTGTTGACCATGCCGTAATCCCATCTCTTCCATTCTCCTCTTGGGATTTTGGGTACATACACACATGCATCTGGCATGATTTTCAAGCCACCAGTTCTGGACTTGAACCACACAGCCAGCCATGCAGGAGCAGCACCTTAACCTCCACACCACCTGCTAGCCCAATATGTCTTCTTTAATACTAGTGGAATCTTTTTATTTAATCCAGTGATGAATCTTCATAATTTGAGCAGTGAGTGGAATCTTTTTATTTAATCCAGTGATGAATCTCCATAATTTGAGCAGTGAGTTTAGACATTTGAATGTATACTGACTGGAGTCTTAGGGCTTTTTCCTGCTTTCCAGTTGTGACTTATTTCTTTCTTTCTTTCTTTCTTTCTTTTTTTTTTTTTAGTTTCTGTTGGATAGACCATGAATATTATACATTCTGGTTTTACCTTTTTTGTTTGTTTTATTAGTGGTTCATCCTAGTAGGACCCATACTTATGCTTACATTTATCATTATTAATTTGACACCTAGATTTAGAAATAAAACTTGAAAAATAGAAAAGCCTCCTATACTTCTCCTGACTGTTTGAACTTGACTTATTCTCTTATTCGATGCTTTACCAACAAGCCACATGTAGGAGAAATTCATGTCCACAGGAAGACTCTAAGCAATAAAACCAATTCTTTGACTAGACATTAAACCATTTAAAAGTTGGTGACAAGGGCCAGCAGGTGGTATGGTGGTGGTTAAGGCACTAGAGTCCCACATGACTGACTGTGGTTCAAGTTGCAGACCTAGTGGCTTGAACATCATTCTAGGCACGTGTCCATGCATGCCAAAAATCCTGAGGAGACAATAGAAAAGAAGAGATTGCAGCATGGCCCTCCTCCCACGGGGTGATTTTTCACTTTCCCTCTCACCGTCTCTGCCTCTCTCTGGCAAGCCACATGCGTGATGGCAAAAACCTTAAAAAAAGAAAAAGTTGGTGGCAAAGGTCAAAAGAGATGATCTTTGGGGCCCTCAGGGTCACTCCTCTTAAATTTAAATTTTTCTCCAAGAAGGATTCTTTCATGTTGATTTATTGCAGTGTAAAATATATTGTAAAACTACTATGTGACCTGCGTGATGGAAATAATGCTCATCCAACTCACTGGCTCACCCTACTTTTTAAATGCACATTAATAGTTAACAGGGCCGAGAGTTCTTGAAAAATACAATCAGCAATCTAAGGATAATATAGATGGTCACCTCCCCCTACAGAACACATTTTATGTAACGAGAGTCAGATACCTTAGAGTTACTCAAGATTCTCAGTTACAAGACACAGGTACTGACACACACACACATTTCAATAATGGAATAAATAAATAATAAAGGCAAAATAATCTTAAATATATTAAAGGAAAATTTAAAAACCAAAGTAATAGTCTCAAAGACAGTATATACCTAGTAAAAAGAAAAAATACCCTTTTGCATCTTTAAAAAAATTATTTAATTTTATTTTTTTTAATTTGCTATAGGACACATGTACTCACTAGAGAGAGAGAAAGAGACACAGAGAGAGAGAGAGAGAGTGAGAAAACAAGCCACCAGGTCTGGGACTCAAACCATGGTGGGCCATGTGGAAGTCCAGCACCCCAACCACCATGCCACCTGCTGACCCGGCATCTTTTGTCAATTGTAGTAAAAATAAATTTAATGTATAATTTGTCTTTTTAGTATTTTTAAGGGAACAATCAATGGCATTAAATATATTCGCAGTGTTGTTCAACTGTCAGCACTGTCTATTCCAAACCTCTTTCATCACCCTGAACAGAAAGTCTGTAACCAGTAAGCAATAATTCCCATTTGCCACTCTCCCCAGCTCTGGATGCCAACTAATCTACTTTCTCTCTTTCTGAATTTGCCCTTTCTAGATCTGTTATATCAATGCAATTATGCAATACTTGTCCTTTGATGTTTCCTTTATTTCACTTACCCATGCCGTAGCATGTGTCACAGCCTCATTTCTTTTTATGGTTGAATAATATGCCATGGTATATGTGTATATTTTGTTTATCCATTCTTCTGTTGATTTACATTTGGGTTATTTCTACCTTCTGGTTCTTGTAATTTTTATGAACCACCTTACTAAAGTATGACTGAGATATAAAATGCTGCACATAATTAACATATACCAAACCCATGGAGAGGTATATGCTCAGCACCATCGAGGGGATCATGATATCACCACCTCCCAAAGTTTACTCATACCCACTTTATTTCTTATATTGGGAATATTTTTGTGGTAATAAATAAACAATATAAGATGTACCCTTTGCCATACTTTATTTACTATCAAGTAAATTACTTGGTTATTAACTATGATGTTTCTATCTCATTCACCATTTTGTTGCTAGAAAATATCATGGTTCTTATCATATAACAGAATCTTTCTTTCTTTCTTTCTTCTTTCTTTCTTTCTTTTCTTTTCTTTCTTTCTTTCTTTCTTTCTTTCTTTCTTTCTTTCTTTCTTTCTTTCTTTCTTTTAATTTAGAGAGTTTTGCCTTAGGGTGTGTGTGCTTGCTGGAGAGAGAGAAGCAAGAGACAGTGAGAGGGAAAGTAAGAAGTTAACCCCCTGGGGAGATGGCCATATCCCAATCCTTTCTCCTCTATTCCTCTCTCAAGATCTTGGGCACGTGCACACATGCACCTGGTGTAAGTTTCAAGCCACTGGGTCTGGTACTCAAACCACTTTCATGTGGGAATTCAATGACATAACCACTACGCCATCTGCTGGCCCCATAACAGAATTGTTTACTGAATAAGTTTAGGTTTCTTAGTTAAATCAAATAAGGACTATGATCAAGTGAGAATAACTTTAAAGTTTTCTTCAGAAACACTCTATATTATATTATAATAAATTAAATACATTTATGTTTAGTTAACTGTTCCAAATAGACTTGGAAGAACTGTTGGGTTTTCCACTAGGAGATTGGGTTTAGAATTAGTTCTGCTTTGGTGAAAAAAAAAATAATCCCCTGTCTTTGCTCTCTGTGAATAAGTAGAGGAATATCCTTAGATTATACTTTCCTCTAAATAGAGGTACAACCGCTATTCTTCTTGAACATGTTACCCTCCTCTCTTCTAGTCAATATACAATATCTATGTTAGCATTCATGTGATGCTGAATACGTATCAAATGGTACCCACATGTCAAGATTTTGGAAGGTGTGAGAGCAATTTCCCACCAATGTGGCATATTTTAGTACTTGTGCCATTGCTGTCATCAAGTAATTTCTAGAAAAGATAATATAATAACTATAACAAACGTTTCCAAGGACAATCTGCACAAATAAGAAAAATTCTTGCTTACAGTCTCTCTCCTGTTAACATAAAGGGCATTGAATGAGATCTAAAGAGCATAGATTTTATACCTAGCCATGTTTCACTGCTGAGGAATTTTGAGCGTCCTAAAATTCTGAGCAGGCAACCTTGGATCAGACCTTCATTCATCATGCCTTCTCCTCAAACATGAAAGAAATCTACTATGGTCAAATTTCTAGAAATTCTTCCTGTTGGATTTGGGTTTGTGTCTTGATGTACATTGTCTTCGTCAGTCTTAGAGGTGAGTACATGTTTACCTTGGTCTAGCTGAGCAGACAGCCAAAGTGGGGAAAGCACAGATTCTTCCCACCAGCAGTCTGCAGCCCACAGGATAGCACCAAGGTATGATGGGATAGAACAGGCCGTCTCTGAATTCCATGAGGTTAAATAGGTGACCTCAAATTTCCTGTCTGCCCATGTGATACAAAGCCCTCAGTTTAGTCTGCAGCTGATGGAGCATGACACCTTAGATCATACCTTCTGTTCTGGTTCAGTGCATAAGAATTCAAGTTTCTGAAGAAGGTGACAAAGTGTTCAGTTTACTGAACCAAGAGCTTTGGCTGTCACCTCTTCTGGAAGGCCTAGCCATGAGACTCTTCTTGATCATTGCGATTCTGCTGTTCCAGAAACCCACAGGTAACCTAGATGGAGTATTTCCAAAAGCTCAGGCTGCAGCAGGGGGAGATAAAGCCCTTAGGGAAGGTTGAAGTCTATCCAACATTATCAGAAATTTTCTCTTGCTGAGGCCTTCTAATAAAGCACTGTCTTCCAAAAGGGGTACTCAAAGAGCTGAAAAGAGGTCACAATATCCTCTGGGAAGGCCTTATTATATGGGTTTTTCTTTTTTTGGTGGGGGCAGGTTTTTTGGTTTGTTTGTTTTTTTTTTGCTATAGGGCGCATGTGCTCACCAGACAGACAGAGAGAGACAGAGACAGAAAGTGAGAAATCATCCCCCAGGGGTGATGGTCACGCCGCAATCCCTTCTCTTCCATTCTCCTCTCAGGATCTTGGGCATGCATGCACATGCGCCCGGCATGAGTTTTAAGCCACCGGGTCTGGGACGCGAACCGCGGTCGACTACGTGGGAGTCCAGCGACATAGCCATTATGCTAGCTGCTGGTTCCCCAGCCTTATTATATTGTTAACAAGCCTTGAGCTCAACATCTAGGGATACCGTTATTTATCTGAATACTGTTTTTACTCTGACAGTCATGTTTTATCTCACTCAAATATATTTTCAGCCTATTGTACTACAGTGTACGAATAGTGGAAGAAGTAAAAATATTGAGTCCATTTTGAAAAATATGTCTTTGATACATACTATTAGCTTGGATAAATGGTGAAGGCTCTATAAGCCTCGGATTCCTCATCTGTGGCAATCATGACACCTGAATCAATATTTTATTAAAGATATAATATATGTTAGCGCCTAGCATACCACTTGGCACATACTAAGAACTTAAAAACTGAAGTACCTTTTCCTCTTTTGCAACCAGGTCTCTTATATTTGTCCCTTTTTAATAGAAATAGTGATTGTCTATCCTTGCACTCCCTAAATTCCTGAGACTCCGAAGAGTTCTAGGACCTGAGGTTTGAGGGATCGTTTTGGATCTTACTCTTTTACCTCTGGATTCCAGTCCAGAGGTAGTAAACTAAACCCAGAAACTAAAATCTGAACATACGTATTCTTATATCATTGAAAGTTTTCAAGATAACAAAGGAAAAAATATTTATTAAGGTAAGCAAGGGTCTGGGATTGAACAATGGAGGAATTCTTGCCTCTGGAGATGGAGGGAGAATGAAGAGTCATAGTGGGATAAAACAAATCCAAGAATTAGAAGGGTATCCAGAGTATAGTGATGACATAGAGGCTAAAAGAGGATATGCATTGGTAGAATGTAAAATGTTAAGAATAAATAGGTAAGGGGAACCAGCAGTTAGCGTAATGGCTATGTCGCTGGACTCCCACGTAATCAACTGCGGTTCGCGTCCCGGACCCGGTGGCTTAAAACTCACGCCGGGCGCGTGTGCATGCGTGCCCAAGATCCCGAGAGGAGAATGGAGGAGAAGGGATTGCGACGGGACCATCCCCCCTGGGGAGTGATTTCTCGCTTTCTGTCTCTATGTTTCTGTCTGTCTGTCTGGCGAGCCCACGCCCCTATAGTGAAAAAAACCTCTCCAAAAAAAAAAAAAAGAAGAAGAAGAATTAGGTAAGGAAGATTAGTGAGGGAAAAAAAAAATACAAGAAAGTCATTCTTTACTGTGGCAGGGAGTATGAACCCAAGAACATGGTCTGACTTACACATAAATACCTAGTAACAATTTATTGTTCTCTGGACATTAGTGGTTGGGAAGCAGTAAGGAAGCATTGTCCTGGGAGAATTCAGTATAGAGGCAAATTTGCCAATATTCCCAGATAGAGCATAGTTCCATAGCCCAGAACCAAGGATTCCACTCCTTTATTTTCTCAAACAAGATTGGATATTCTTACCAGAATCTATCAGCTATTACAGAGAGCAACAAACCTTGGGAAACCAAACTATGAGTGAACCAGATAAGTAGGAACATGAAGGTTCCTCTCACTGGAGAGACCTCTTTGGGATATCATGAGACTATTATGCCTTGTGGATAGCCCATGATCCGAATCCTTACAAAACTCTTCTGCCTTCCTAGTGACCAAAGTTGCCTGCGATCTCAAACACTGACCTTGCCTATTGTTCTTTTCTGTGCACAGTAACCAATCAACTTAAGAAATGCTGGGGTAACTATGTACAAGGAAACTGCAGAAAAATCTGCAAAATAACTGAGATACGTGAGGTACTATGTACAAATGGGAGATATTGCTGCCTCAATATCAAGGAACTGGAAGAACGAAAAAAAATTACAAAGCCACCTCGTCCAGAGCCACCAATTGTTGCACTGACTCTTCCTCAAGAGTATGATGAGATCATAGAAAGTTCCTCAGTCCCCCAGAAAAATTCTACACAAATCACATACAATTTTCTATCATTTACTTCTCAGCCTACTCCACTACACTAAGGGACAAGAACCACATTGTCTCTTTCTGGTTTCTTGATCCCCAGAATGAACTTCTAGAGATTCTAATAAAGCTCATTACCAATTTTCTGGCTCATTCATTTTTTAATATTTTTTGAGAGGTTTTTGCTATAGGGCACTTGTGCTCGCCAGACAAAGAGACAGAAAGCGAGAAATCACCCTCCAAGGGGGATGGCCACTCCACAATCCCTTCTCCTCTGTTCTCCTCTCGGGATCTTGGGCACACACGCACACGTGCCCGGCGTGAGTTTTAAGTCACCGGGTCCTGGACGCGAACCGTGGTCGACTACGTGGGAGTCCAGCAACATAGCCATTACGCTAACTGCTGGTCCCTGGCTCATTCATTCTTTAACCACAAATTGAACAATCACTATATATTAGATAATAAATTGATAAAGACAATTCAGAAGCTCCTTATTCTGGGATGTAACCAGTGCACTGGGGAAAAAAAAATAACATGACAAACTGGAATAAGACACTTGGGAAAACTGGTATGTCATTCAGGAGAGGGAAAGGTGAAGGAAGTATTCAGGGGAAATTTGGGAGTGAGTTTAGGAGTAATATAGTGCCTTGTCTCTGAAAGATAAAATGCTGTATATTCCCATTTAATAAATACTGAGTGTCCTCACTCATTACCAGAAACTGAAGGACCCAACAGCATGTTAAGTAGAGAGTAGTGGTAGATATTAGATGCTGGGTGTGAGGTGGGGGGAAATGGGGAGAAATTGTATAAAAGACAGAAGAGTGCCTATAAACAGGTAGAATAGGTTTTGAAACTGTGTACCACAGTACAGTAATGAATGTTGGTGACAACAAAGTGATTTATACTTCCAAAACTACAACAGAAGGAGTTTTGAGTGTGCATAGCATAATATAGTATTGAATGTTAAGAATGATGAATGTGTTTATATCTTGGATTTGATTATAACACACTGTACACATGTTTTAAAAAGCTATATTGTGGGGACCAGCAGGTGGCTAGGTGGTTAAAGTGCTGGACACCCACATGGCCGACTGCGGCTAGACCTGGTGGCTTGCTTCCTCTCTCTCTCTCTCTCTCTCTCTCTCTCTCTCTCTCTCTCTCTCTCTCTCTCTCTCTCTCTCTCTCTCTCTCTCTCTCTCTCTCTGTGTGTGTGTGTGTGTAGTCAAATTAAAATAAATGAATGAATAAATTAAATTAAAATAATTCATATATATATATATTGTGGGGTCAGTGTGTGGCATGCTGGTTGGGGCACTGGACTCCCCCATGGCCAACTGTAGTTTGAGTCCCAGACCTGGTGGCTTGCTTTCTTGCTTTCTCTCTCTCTCTCACACACACCTCTGTCTGGTGAGGGCATGTGCCTTATAGCAAATTAAAAATGATAATAATAAAATTAAATAATTATTTTTTAAAAACCATGTTGTACTTCATGAAGACATAAAATGATTATATGTAAATCAGAAATTACAATAATAAGTAAACAAATAAATAAAGCAATACATTATGAAATATGTAGGATTTCAACAATTGAGTGTAAGTAGAGGAGGCAATTTGAGTAAACGGAATGTCCCCAATAATGGAAGAAAACTGGAAAAGACAGGACATTTCAGAAACTATCCAAGCACTTTGGATGAAGAACAGAGCACTCACAATTAAATCATGGGAAAATCTGATTTCTTAAGCTCCTGTGTACCATAGTGAACTAAAAAGTTAGAGATGAATAGGATTCCACTATTATGGAACTTAAAATATAAGGCTATGAGTGTTCCCTTTTCTCCACATCCTTGGCAACATTTACTAATTTTCATGCCTTTGATAAAGACCTTTTAAGAGATGTGAAATGTCTCCTGTGATTTAGATTTACATTTCCCTGATGAGTCAACATGTTAAGCTTCTTTTCATACATATGTTGGCCATTTCTAAGTCTTAATGAAATAAATCAATTATTACAATATAATGTAATCTAAGTTATGTGAATATGATCTTTGTCCCTCAAAACATTTTACTGTACTTACTCAGCTAAGGTTTGACTATAGTTGAATGTAACTGAAATCGTGGAAAGCAAAACTGCAAATAAGGACAGACTACCATATTTCAAATTTTAAGCCTGTTAAAAAACACCTCCATTTTATTGAGGTCAGTTTCTGTAGGTTTATCTTCTTTTATTTGTAATATATTTCCTTGTTTCTTCATTTTGCTTGATTTTCTGTGCTGGTTTCTGAACATTAGATAAAACAGCCTCCTCTTCCAGTCTTCACAGATTGGCCTTGTATACTAGAGGAAACTCACCAGTTAGCCTGGCTAGAGATTATAAAGGTTTTTCAAAACTTTTCAAGTGTCCAAAGTGCTATCTTAAGTCTTATCGGTCTCCAGGGGCCTAGCATATGCTATATTCAATCAGTGTCCCAAGGCAGTAGTGACAGGAGTCATTCCTTTGCATAACAGCTGGAAAAGTTAGGGTATTTGATTTCTCTCCTCAGGAAGTAGCTGGTAGCTGGAGCTTGGTTGGCATTACCTTGAAGAGGAAAGCTGTAGCAAATGCCTAGCCACTTGGTCAGACCATGGGCTCCTCTAAGCTGCTGTTTTGCTCTCACTCTCAGGTCTCAAGTGAATGCCAGGTCTTGTCAGCGCTCAGAGACAGGCAGATAAGAGACTAGTCCCTTGTGTAGCCACAGAAAAGTTGGGGGCTGGATGGATAATCCAGCTCTTTCTGGGGAAAAGCTGGAGGCTTGGTTTTATTGCCTTTTTTTTCTCTTGAGATGCTTTTGCTATAGGGCACGTGTGCTCGCCAGAAAGACAGAGACAGAGACAGAGAGACAGAAAGCGAGAAATCGCCCCCCCCCCCGCCAGGGGGGATGGCCACGCCACAATCCCTTCTCCATTCTCCTCTTGAGATCTGGGGCACGCATGCACAGGCACCTGGCATGAGTTTAAGCCAGCAGGTCTGGGACTCAAACCGTGGTCGACTACATGGGAGTCCAGAGACATAGCCATTATGCCAATGGCTGGTCCCAGCTTGGTTTTATTGCCAAAGTGAGCTAGAGAGAGACACCACAGGGAGTGCCCACTCATCCAAACTCCCAGAGGGCTGACAATCACCTGACTTGTCAGCTTCCGGATGCAGGCTAGTTAGAACAAAAGCTGGAAAAGTAGAGGATACTTATTTTTTTAAGAAAGAAAAAATATATAAGATATACATATTACATATGCATATATTATATATACTAGATAGAAGATAAATAGATAGGTAGATAGATTAGATAGATGATAGATAGATAGATAGATAGATAGAGATAATAGATAGATAGATGATAGATAGTTAGATATAGATAGATAATTATACATAGATATTTTTTGACACTATCTAGGGAGAAACTGTGACCTGGGCTTTATTGCCTGTTCACTTTGTGAACAGAGGGTCAGAGGGAGGAACTGTGGCAAGTATTCAAGTGCTCATTTAAACTGCCTATTTGTTTAAACTGGGGTGCAGACATAGGCAAGTTAGGAACCAATCTCTTGGGTAGCAGCTGTAAATGTTGGAGTACTAGATATGTGGTCCAAACCTTTTGCTCCTCAAGAAGCTGGGAGATATGGGTTCCCTGCTGACTATCTGAGTTAGGGGTGGGGCTTATGGTAAAAATCTGAATCCCTTTTTCCAACCTATTTCTATGTATTTTTGCAATCCCTGGCATACAAGAGCCTCTTGACTAGTTTCTGGATTTTTCACAGAGGGAATTGATACGTGTTCATTCAGTATGACTGACTGTAAGTGGAGAATCTTGAGCTTTCTATTCCGCCATCTTGCTGAACTCACCATGAACTTTGTTCTCTTGGTCAAAGGAAGTAATATGACTACCCAGTGTCCAGAGGTGAAAAAGTACATACAAACTCTTCATAAAAGGACTGAAGTTACACTGTGAAAGCATATATATATATGGACTCAAACCACAGTCAACTTCATGGGAGTTCAGTGACATAACCATTATACCATCCACTGGTCCCTTCCTGGTGCTTTTGAAGAAAGATATACCTACACAACTCTTTCTACTTCTACCTGCTGAATGCAGAGATGATGAAGCCCTAGATGATGACAGAAAGAGAGACTAGGTCCCTCTTTCTGGAGGTATCAAAACTCATTACTATCCCGTAAAACTAGGATAAAAACTGTTACATGAGTGAGAGATAAGTATGTATTTCGTTAAGCCATTAAAATGTACAGGCTCATTTATCACAGTAGCTAGAATAATCCCAAAAAATACAATAGTATAAACTCAAGTACATTTGAGGCTCATGAAAAGATTCCAAAAGAAAGGGAGGAGTTAAAATTCCCATGAGGACAGGGATGTCATCTGTCTTGCTCTCTTTTCACAGATCCAAGCTCAAGAGCTAGGACATGGAAGGTGCTCAATAAATATTTATTGATTGTGTGACAAGTTCTGGACTGCAATAAGAAAAAATAATCAAGCCTCCCCCCCTTTTTTAAGAGAGATTTTTGCCATAGGGCATGTATGCTCATCAGAGAGACAGAGAAACAGAAAGCAAGTAATTATCCACCCCAGGGGGAGATGGCCATGCTGCAATCCCTTCTCCTCCATTCTCTTGGGATTTGGTCACACATGCACACACACCTGGCCTAAGTTTCAAGTCACTGTGTCCAGGACTCAAACCTTGGTCAGTCATGTGGGAGTCCAGCCATGTAACTATTATGTCATCTACTGGTCCTGAAGGCCCTCAAGGTTTTAAAGCAGCGATTAAGAATGAGATTCAGGGGAACCAGCAGTTAGCGTAATGGCTATGTCGCTGAACTCCCACATAGTCAACCGCGGTTCATGTCCCGGACCCGGTGGCTTATAACTCACACCGGGCGCATGTGCGTGCGTACCCAAGATCCTGAGAGGAGAATGGAGGAGAAGGGATTGCGGCATGGCTGCATCCCCAGGGGGGATGATTTCTCATTTTCTGTCTCTCTGTCTCTCTCTGTCTGTCTGGCGAGCGCACGCACCCTATAGCGAAAACCTCTCAAAAAGAAAAAGAAAAAAAGAAGAAGAAGAAGAA